ATTTTATTTTCAAAATTTGGGACGTAATTTTAGCATATTGGTCAAAGTAAACTGCTTTTAAGTGACTAATTAAAGTTGTTCAGAAGGTATGAAATCACTTGAATCTTAATTTTCATTGAGCCAACTTACGATTTGATCAAAATATATACAAATTTTCAATTACATATACTCACGATTTTTTTTACATTTTATTTTCAAAACTTGTGATGTAATTTTAGCATATTGGTCAAAGTAAACTGCTTTTAAGTGACTAATTAAAGTTGTTCAGAAGGTATGAAAATACTTGAATCTTAATTTTTATCAAGTCAACTTGCAAACGGATCAAAATATTTACGAATCTTTAATTACATATACTTTTAATTTTTGATTTTTTTAAAAAAATTTAGTTTAATTTGTAAATTCAAGATAGTATTTTCTCAAAGTTATATATTTATAAATTCATTCAGAAATATATCTAAATGTAATTCTTTATTTTTTATTATAATTTTTTTAAAAAAAATTATTTAAAATATTATTTTAAAATTATGTAGAAATTATTAAAAATTATTAAAAATTAAAGAAAATTATAAATCACTAAATTAAATTTACTAAAAAATAGATGCATATTGTTTGATATTTTTTTGCCATCCAATTTTTGTTACACCTAATTTTTCTAGTTGATTATCACTCAAATCTTTGATTATATTAACAGTTATTTCTTCATCAATAAAAGCTTTCTCAAATTGAGTATAAGTACCTGGAGTATTAAATTTATTATCTAATGTTTTTAAAAATTCATAAACAGTAGGTATTTCATTAGGAGAAGTGATAGATTGTTGATAATTAGAAGGAAAAGATTGTGAATAAGGATAATATGGAAGATTAAAAGGTAATTGAGGAAAATGAAAATACATAGGTTGTATAGAATTTGTTGAATTGTTAGATGAAAGTACATTTGATATTAGTGATTGTGAAATATTTTCTTGCTTGGAAATTGTAACAGCATGTACTGCATCAAAATTTGGAAAGGAAGGTGGCACATCATAAGTAGTTGTATTATTTATCTTTAAATAAAAAATAAAATTAATTAACTTATTAATTTATTAATAATAATAAATAAATATTTATTTTTTACTTACAATTTCTCTCGCCCATAATTGTAATCTATATGGATTTAATTGAAGATGTTTTGAGTTTATAATAAAACATGGTGTAAGGTGAATAGAACATCTATATTTTTCTGATAATTCATTTATCACTTGTGCTCTTGTCATTTGTTCTGATGTTAAATCTTCTTTTTGAACAGCTCTAGATTTATTTTTCTTATGAAAAACTTTAATTTTTTCTGTATTAGAATCTGAAGATGAACTATTTTCTGGAATTTCCTATATAATTATAAAAATAAATATAAAATATTTGATATAATTTATTATTATTATATTATTATAATTACATACCTTTTTATTATTTTTTTTTCTTTTTTGAATATTATTAATATAAATACTATTAAGAATAACACTAATTCCCATTTTTTTATTACTACCAATTATTTTTTTATATTCGTCTAAAAAATCATTAAAATCTGTTTCTTCCTCCAAAGTATTTGCTGTACCCCTACTATTGAGTGCTTTGTATTGAAGAGAATAATCAAATACATTGAGTTTTCTATCACCAAGAGATTTTTGAATATATAAATGAATTTTTTCAATAACATTATCAAAATCAACTGGTGAAATTATTAATGTTTTAGCAGCATTATTTTTTTGTTTGTTTTCAATTATAATAGATAATTTTAGCTCTTCTATCTCACTTGAAGTTGTAGCTGCATCATCGGAGCCATCATCTTGTAACAATATTTCTGCTGGATTATTTTTATCTTTATATTTTGCTCTTTGATATTTACTATTGCATGCAGAACAAAGTGTATAAGAAAAGGATGAATTAAAATCAGTTCCATATTGGAATTTTATATTAGCATCTTGAAGTAATTTACTAGCTTGTGAAAAAGATATATCTGGAGAAAAGGCACGAGGATAAAATTGTTGACCAGGTAATGTATTTTTAACTTTAGAAGGACGAATATTTTTATTACATATACAATTTTCTTTGTCTATTTCAAAACAATATAGGCATTTTGAGCAAATATAACAACTGCCTAATTGATAAATAGTTGAGCCTTTGGTTTTTTTAGGAGACATTTAGTATAAAACAAGAGAAATAAAAAACAAATGATCTTTAAATTTAATGCGCGAAACTTAATTTTGATAAAAATTTATTGGATGATCTGAAACGTGATATAAATTTTTATAAAATTTTATTGACCTAAATTTGAAGATCATGCACGTGATATTGTTTATTTGGTATTCGAATACCTATCAATTATATTACCAAATTTTCACATGACCACATAATTTTGCAAAGAGCGATAAATATGATTTTAAAGATTATTGTAAATTATTGCAGGTTTTTTTAATATTATATTATCATTATATTTTCATTCTGTAACAGTTTCCCCTCATTTAAACAAAATGTCCTCATTTTGATATATGGTTGTTCCCCAACTTTATATATTCACATTTTTAATTTTTCATGTTTTAGTAATTCTCCCTAAATTATCAAATTCAACATCTTCTATTATCCATGTGTATTCTTGTTACTGTAGTGGTTTTTATCCCTTTCTTCAGATATTTATTTTCAATTTAACTTCTCAATGTATATAATTCTTCTATATGACATACAAATATATCACTATTTGCTGTTTCAGTCATTATTTCAGTGTTACTTTTTTTTCCTTCATATATGATAAATCCAATTGTATTAAGTCTAGAAGATAATAATTCTTTCATTTTATTTACTATACTATTTTCTAATCTTTTTGTTATTTTACATTGTACTATCTATTGTAGTGTTTGATTATATATTACTATTTTTCCAAATAAATCTACTGCTCCATCTCCTATAATTTTTTTTAATTTTATCTTCTCTTCATTTTCTTCTAAAAGGTGAGCTTTTGTCATTATAGTTATCATATTCTGAGCTTTTAATATTTGTGCTACTTTTTCTTCCAGGCTGTCTCCTTTAATTCTATTGTTCTGAATTTTAAATATTTCTTTCATCCAGGTTTTTGTTGCTTTTACTGTATCCAGGTTAGTAATCTCTTCTTCTATTTTTCTCTTCTTTTGAGGTGGCATTTTATTTGTAGTATCCTCTGATTCGGGAATATATTTCCTTTTCATTAATAATATTGGTTA